CTTATAAACCTGCATATTTATTCCCGCTACGCATTGTGAATGAGCTCATGAAAGAAAGCATTGGGAGTCAGTCCTGGAAAACACCGAGAGCTAACTGCAATTCCCTTCTACTCAGAGATGAGTGCTCAGCCCCCTCAGGCTTCTCTGAAAATATCAGCTTCTATTTAGGCATGTGCTGGGTCATTGTTCTATTCAACCACAGTTAGTAATGATATCACGTTTTAGGTTTCAGCGTAAGCTTTAGAAAAAAAGAGTAGAATAAATGGAAAGTTGTAGTCTCTTTTCAGCACAGGACACTAAACAAATAGTTTAGTATCTTCTGCCAGAGCAAGTTCCTCTGGGTGTTCCTTTAGGGGCATTTTTGCTGCCGAGATGACTGATCACATGCAACTATGCCAGCCATTTGTGGTTTTGTTCCTTTCTGTCTGGTTCATGTAAGAGCTTACAAGTCTACAGCTGTTGACAAACTAAAAGAAGCAATGGGGTAGCTTAAACTGTGACACTTACATTTCCCATGCAGAAGTCCCAGAGTTATTTTCCAAGGATGACCACCCTTACGAAACCACATTAGAGTCCTGACTGGCATTAGACGAAGCAACCTTTGGGCATACAGCCAGGTAGAAGAGTCAGCACTCAGCAAGAATGCTTCCTTCTGTACTGGGTCCCAAAGGAAAGATAAAGACTCAATGCTTCCCTCTACTGTACCTGCACAACCTCCACAGCTATTGCTTTGTGGCATCTTGTGCACTCCTTCCAGGGTGAGACTGAGCAGCTTACAAGCGCTTGTCTTCCTGCCCATCCTCACACCTTGCTGGTATGCTTCTTCAAGGAAAACCATGTGTTTACCTCCAGATCTGGCTGACCTATGCATTGCAGACCCCCCATATGCTATCCCCCCAGATCTTTTAAAATACAATCACATTCGTTCAGTTTCAAATGTAGCACATTACTTGAGTGAGAACTTTATTGCAGTTATATACTGCACTGCCGCTGTGACTTGCCCAGAAAACTTTCCACCTCCTCTCCACCCTATGTATACAAGATGGTAAAAACTGCTAAGTTCTGAGCATGAAATTCAGTGCCACTGAAATGAGAAGGAAGAACTCCAATGACTTCACAGTGAAGTAAGCCATCTCACTCTGCTCAGGGAAGCACCCGCAAAAAAATAATTGCATGGATGATTTTATTTCTTTCTAAAAAGACAGCAGGAGCCACCAGGCTGGTCATCTTCAAACAAACAAAACCACAAGAGCATATCTGCAAGGACGTGTCTGTTTGAATCTGCAGTGTTTCTTTTATATCTAGGGTGTTCACTGAAAGTAAGAAATAGATAAAGTTAGGGTTTTTTTCCACCAGGGCTAAGTCAGAGAAGCTAATAATGTGAGGAGCTGGCATTCTGTGACTCACTTAGCCCAACCAAGGCAGGCATAAACTGTGCACTACTACAGATGTTTGAAGGGGAGAAGAGTCATATTTTCTCTGGGAGAGAATGAGGAAGTGACAGCCATTGAGATTTAAATGACAGCATGTGGCATTAGGAGCCACAATTAAAAGTTGTTATGGGCTTCACAGTAACAAATTATCATTCCATGGTACTCCATCAGGAAAACAGTAACACATTCATAGACAGACCAGTGGCTTAAGTCAGGTGGGAGAAAAGACCAGAAGCAAGAACTCAAACAACAAAACACTAACAAAACAACTCTCTGAGCTAATGTGATTTGAAAAGGAAGGAAAAGAAGAATCCTAGATGGCTGACAAGTGCTACCTGGATGTTACTAATGCACCTTACCCAGCAAAGATGGCTGCGGGCTGAGGAGGTGTCAAGTTCATCTCACATTCCATGTTTTTCTGCTAAGACAAACTCAGACTTTGAAACAGGAGTACCTGGAGAAGCTGCACTTTCTTTTGTGCCCTTTCCCACTGTTTCATAACTAGTGGATCTGTTTTCCTGTGTATCAAAACTTACTGCACCTGGACCACACTCACAGAAAACTTCTTCCTGAAACCTGCTTTGAAAGCATCCATACTGCAGGACTGAGCAGGTCTGGGTGAGCGCCTTGAGCTCCTTCCCTAGTTTTTGTACATGCACTCTTTGTGCAAGGACTTTGCAGAAAACTCTGTACAGCTCTGGCCAGGGCAAAGCACAAAGAGACAGGTCACACAGCCTGTGGGAGATGTAGTCCTGGATATTGAGAGCTATTTGATAAAGCTCACAACAATATAATTTAGTTAAGTGCTGTTCTTTCTTGTTTTCTTATTTCCAGGTCTGGAAGCCAGTAATTCCAGAGAGAGAAAAGTCTTATTCTTTTATATGTGTCCAGCTACTTGACATAATATATAGAGAGATAATCAAAATTATTATCAAGGCTCTGAGTAATTTAGCCATATGAATCATACTGGCTCCATATCCTTGGGATTTTCCTAAAGGTCATGACGTGCTTTTACTGGCTGAAAGTTATCTTTCAGTGAATAAGGGGAACACGGGTTCCCTTTAACATTGGAGACAGCCCCTGGATGACTGACACCAGCCTGTCATTCAATCCCACATCACTGATCTGAAAGTTTGCACCCGGAAGCAGTGACAAGTTACTCCTGTTGCTGGCTGAACTGCATGGGTGGGCTGTGCTCTGTCCCTATGTCTAAGTGTCTGCTGGGGGCAGGGAAATAAAGAACCAACACACAAACACAAAAAATAAGGTTTGGGACTGAACACTTCCAGAGGCTGAATGTTGCCAAGACTTGGACTATTACACCCTGGCTGTGTCTGAATAGAGGCCCTCTTCGTATACTGGTGTGAAAATCTCTTGCCTGGACAGCAAAGAACTGTTTAAAAAGGAAATGGCAGAGCAGAAGAGCTGATACAGCTTCTTGCTAGCAGTTGGTATCCAAGCTTTTTTCTGCCAGTTGTTATGTTTTCTTCTCCTTCAGTAATCAATCTCCGTTACAGCGCTGCTAAAAACAAAGGCTGCTGTGTCAGAGCCTGACACACAAACTTCTTGCATGCTGTAAGCAACTACTTATACAAAGCATGATCTCTATTTGTAAACAGACAAAAGCATGAATTAATTTGTTTTAACATTAGAAATTTAAATTATTTTATATACCTGAACAGCTCCTAGCAGCTCTTTAAGAAATTGGAGCCCTGCAGTGACAAGTGAGGTTGCATTCTCTCACCCAAATTTAAGGTGATTAAATTTGATATCCAAACAGGAGGTAATTAGGGTAGCTTGCCTTTCTATTCAGTACAGGAATTTCTAGGAAGCATTATTTACTTCATCAGAAAATCAGACATCAAAAACGGGTCAGATGAATTTTACCTTGGGAAAGACCAATTCATTCTGTGCACTGCATATAAACAGGCCCCAAACAGCCACCTCAGGTGCAAACACCTCTGTGGCAGATGTTAGAAAGCTTCCCAACCATATGGCCATGCAACACAGTTCCTCCCTGAAGAACTTACCCTTTACATACACACATTTCTAGAATGAGAAGTGGAGCTCTGTGCCTAGTCCAACCCATGCACACAGCACTCCTACTCTGGTTCTCCAGACTAGGAACCATGCCTGAGATTGTACTTTTTAACCCATGGACCTGCCATCAACTTATTTGCCATCAGAACACCACGCTGCAAAACCTTCCTTGGAAAATAATACCAATGCAAAATCTCCCACTCGTCAAGAAGCTCAGGAGTGAACCCTTGAATTTCTCATGACTCAATGTACAAAGATCTTTCATTACATCCAGAAAGGATGCTCAGAGGACTTAATAGAAAAACAAGAATTTACAGCATTCACCACTCCTTCACGCTCACATAACCAGAGTCTGTCAAACAACCATGTGCAGAAAATGGCAAAACCTTATGAGCAGCTCCTAATTTTTGTTCCTTTAGGTTTTTTTTTTGTACAGTTTGGGTGTTGTATTAATTGTGTTTTGCTTTAAACAGTCCTTGTGTCACCAAATCTCTTCCACAGAGTCAGCAGTTTTGGTCTTCATCAATATACTAATAAAAACAACAAATGTAATAACAATACATAGGTCTAATATTATACTTGTGTCACATCTAGGAAACAGCAGTTTTAATAGAAAGATTATTAAAGTATATTAGAAGGCATGAAGAAAAAGAGTAGGACCAATATCTGAAGGGGGCCTATAGGGATGCTGGGGAGGGACTTTTCATTAGGGACTGTAGTGATAGGACAAGGGGTAAGGGGTTAAAACTTGAACAGGGAAGTTTACATTGGGTATAAGGAGGAAGTTCTTTACTGTTAGGGTGGTGAGGCACTGGAATGGGTTGCCCAGGGAAGTTATGAAGGCTCCATCCCTGGCAGAGCTCAAGGCCAGGTTGGACAGAGCCTTGGGTGAGATGGTTTAGTGTGAGGTGTCCCTGCCCACAGCAGGGGGGTTTGAACTAGATGATCTTAAGGTCCTTTCCAACCCTAACGATTCTATGATTCTATGATTCTTGAAGCCAGATGAAAGGAGCTGATGTAAACAGAACTAATCGTTAGAACACAGTTACATGACAATTATAACGTATCCTAAAGTATCTTTAGAAAAAGCCCTAACAATGAGTGTTTTAAGAGCAGGAGTAGCAAAAGACTGGTCTTGAAAAAAAAATTAAGTTACACCACTATAAATTGAAACAGTGAAATGGTGGATCAAATGAAAATCTCTAACTTTGTGTAGAATACTTTTGAACATTGCAGAGATACAATTTATTTTATTACTGCACACCATGCCTCTTTCTAGATTCTTGCATTCAATGGACATTGATGCAGAATGGTTCACTCATTTTCTGGGGGCTGATCTGCTTCTGCAGAGGCAGTAGTGTCTTTGCACACAGGCAAGTATGCGTTCATACTGCTCATACTCTCATTTTTAGATATCCAGCTTTCACTAGAATAAAATGAGGTGTGAAGAGACCAAATAAAGCCTAGCAAGACATACAGAAGGCTAAATGAGCTGGACAAAATTTGAAAAAAGCTGCCAGTCAATACATAATGATTTGTTGAACTCTGCTGCTGGATTTTGTACCTGCAGGGTCCTGAAACACTTCCCCTTGTTAACTCACTTGTGGATGTACTGCGAGACGAACTCCTCCTGTACCACCAGAGCATTTGTTCTTCCGCTTCCTAGGAGAATCTCTGCTCTCCCATCTCAGGCAACCCACAGACACTCCAGTAAAACACAGTGTCCTGATCGGGGTAAGCCTCTGGCACAGCAACATCTGGAGGAGAAAAAAAGAGAAATAAATAAAATCATATCCCCTGCACACACACTCCCTCCCTTCCCCAAATGCTGTTTCATTCTCAGAAAACTGAGCTTGGCAAAAACCTCCTGATCTCGTGCTCACTCCCATCATTCACACCCAATGTACATATTCTTTTTATCAGATCAGAGAGCAGCATTTGGATTATTTCAAACAGCTAACATTACTCATCAAGACAGAACCTGTAGTTTTTACATGGTGGGCCTGTGCTGAGCTGTGAAGCACTTCTGCAGGCTTCTAGTGTGAGCAATAGGCTGAGTGAAAGCAAGATCATCAAAGCCCAGGGCAGTGTCACAGAGATGGCTGCTCGGTCAAAGACTCCTATGGCCCTTTCTTTTCATCTTTGTTTAAAACAGAGATGCTAAGAGAGAAACATCTCTCCTGAGCCATTCAACACATCTTTAATCACACAACGGGATGTCAGTAAATACAAAATATATTTCTGCAGTATTCAGATGAATCATTACTCTGCAGTGACTACAGTTATGTAGGTACCAGGCTATTTTCTGCGTGCTGCACCCATAAGTGTAAATTTTGTCCTTTGGTAATGGGCATTCCCCTGTCAGCTTGAGATGGCTCTTTATTACTGAGTTATTCAGGTATAATTTGATCTCATACAGAAATATCCCTCTCCCTTCTTGCTTCTGTATTTCTGAAATAAAGGTTATGCTGACTGAAACAGCATTTGTTTGCCAAGGATAAAAACAACACTTGAACTGAAACTGGGCTTCCAGAAACAACTCTGCTTAACACGAAGCCATTCACTAGCTCTTTGCAATAGTCACATCATTATATTCCCCTGTCTTTCAAGCTGCTCTTCGTTTTGAGTGGCCGTCATTCAGAAGCAAGTTTCAGAGCACCAGGTGGTCTGATATAATATTTATGGGTTTCAACCTTTTCACTAGCTACTCTTCTGTACCAAACTACATATAATAAATACAAGTTTGCTCAAGAAAACAAATTGAAACTTTAAACAAATGTAGCCTACGTTATATAGGGGGTCACAGAAGGTGTGCGTAATAGTCCCTTCTGGCCTGAAAAATCTAATAATCTATGAATTTTGAAATAACTGCATAAAATACTACACTCCGATCCTAAATTTTGCAGTAAACCTTTTCAAATATTAACAAGAAGCTGTGCAGCTGAGAGAGGATTATGCCCTTGGATATTCGGCTAGGGGATGTTTGCCAACCTGTCCTAAAAAAAAACCCAACAACCTTCCTTTAGTTTCTGAATGAACAGAATTAATTGGCTTACATGCTGGAGCAGTGAGTAATGAATGTATTAGCTCATTAAATCATCATCACCATCTACAACCTCACCACAAAACAATGAGGACATATTATGGTCTGAGTTACCTACAAAAAAATTAAATAAAACAGCATAGGTGGCACCTCTGTTTTATCATGTGTCACATATGGGTGCAATAGTAGTCAGTTGGTGTCAGCAATAGTGTTCTCTTTCTCAAAACTCCAAGTGAAGTGAGAGGGCACATAAGCCCTGGACTTACATGGGTATTAACCAGTAGGGCTTGCAAAAGACCTCAGGCACAGACTAGCAGAAATGCAGGACAGTCATTGCTGCTAACTCTAAACCCCTTCTTTAGTCCAGCGTGGAGTTGGGGATGCCACTACAACAGCAGGTGAGACCATATGGATGGCAGCAGCACTGGCCACAAGTCCTTTCTTAGTTGTGGTTGTGCTTTCCAAAGAAGTTACTGCTCCTCCACCGCATCCCACTGAGCTGTGACTACAACAGCTCTCTGCCCTGTACTGGCTACTGTGAAGCCATTTAAATAATAGTTCATTGCTATTTAGAGGGAAACCAATTAGCTTTTGCATGAGGGAGAAGTGGACTGGAGGATGCAGTACCCACTGAGAGGAGGGCAGGGATGAGCAGCTGGAAACCAGATGAGGGCAGGTGCCTCCTCCTGCAGGACGGCCGTAGCTCTTGCATACAAACATTGCATAAACCCAGCCTTGTGGGTGCAGCCAGCCTGTTCTTACAGCCCGGGAACAGAGGTGAACACAAATGTACAGCCTCCTGATATACCATAACTATCACCCAGTAAGAAGAAAGAAACATGTTGCCCCATATTTAGTTTGGTTATGCAATGAGACAGTCTTCTCCCGGTATGATTTTTTTACCTTGCTCTCCTTTCTGTGCATTCCCAGGTATAATCATTATTGCAATATATTTTTTTCTGTCTCTACCCACTCAGATACATACAGGACAGAATTTCCATATGGTAGGACTCTTCCATCCGAGGTGCTGCAGGATGCTGCTGTGAGCTCTTGGTGAAGTTGTATTTTAGCATATAACTTCTACATGCCTTAGCTCTTCCCTCTGAAGATAATAAATTTTTGTCTATCATCAGGCTTCTGCTTATTAATTCACATCTTTAAGAAGTGCTGAAATGTTTCACGTTTGCCTTGTGATACTCCTTGAATTTGCTTGGTAACTTGAAATGTGAAGAAAACTGTCCAGGCTGGCATATGCATGTAGACTTATCCTCTTCAGGGCAATCACAGGATAGTTTCAAACAGCATTAGTTTTCTTCTCCTCATTCTCAGCCATAAGGCCTTATTCACTTGCAGGGAATGAAAGTCCTTTCACTGTCAGATATCAGTATCATAACATTGCTATTGAATCCTGAAGAGTTAATTTAAAGAAGTATCCAGGAAAAAAACCCATGGTTGTCTTCCTAGCCTAATTCAGGGGACTGAGTGGTTTAAAACATATGACAGAGCCAGAGGATATATCGCTGTCTTAGTTACTTGAAGAAGGAAGGAAGGACAAATGGCAAGGGCTTGAAGAGGAGTTTCTTCCAGCAACTCTCTTCTCCTTTCACAGAGGTCACAGCCCTTCTTCTGACTTACAAGTGAAGGTGGGCATGACAGCAACCACACAGGACCATGAGGAAATAGACTGAAGGGCCTGCCATTCTTCAAAAGTACAGATGCAAATCAGGGTTGTTTGCTGAGCTGTTTGGTTCTGGAATAGGCTGTTGTTCAGTTTCCATGGTGGAACCAACATTGCACATGTGATAGACACACACAACAATCTGTGCCTCCTCCCTGAAACACAACAGGACGGTTTGTCATTGTACATGTGGAGTCTGGGCAGATAAAATCTCCTGAGCTAAATTCTGCTTCTGACTCCTTTGGCGACATGCTGGAGAGACTTGAGTCACTGGGGTTTGCTGAGGTCTTTGTTCTTGGAGAGGAGGTTTGCTTTAGAAGCTGAGCATAAACAAATCAAAAGGACAAAAATAGCAGCAGCTTCTGCTGCCATCTGAAAGTTCCTTCGCATTTGGCTCAACCACATCTGAGCTATGCAAACAGGGAACAAAGTTTTGTAACTCAAACCACCAAAAAAGCAACTTGGTTCACAGAAGTTTTCACGGTGGCTTTGCTGGGCAGCTCCCAGAGCAGCAGGAAGGACTCCTGAAGTGGCCTTCAAACTCAGAGAAACTGAAATTTGTGCAAGGATGACCCAGGTAATTCCTGTCCCTAAAGAAAAGAAGGTGTTTGTCTGGAGAGCTCCCAGCTCAGGCACAGCCAGATCCAAGAAACAAAGTCCTTCCCCTGCCACCCCTGCACATTTGTGTTGTAGCTACATACACAATGATGTGAGCTGTCAGACCACTTGAGTGGGCTTGCTATTCAAATTACTTTAATGAGGATAGCCAAGAAGCATAGCAACGTTATTTAAAGAACTTTTACAGTAAAGCCCTCCCTCTTTACCTCACTTTTGATAACACTCTCAGCAGCAGAAAAAAAATAAGTACATCATCACATTTCTTAGCGAATGCTTCTTAGTAACTTGAAATCCTTTGGGGACAATACCTCCCACTTTCCTGAAACAATTAAGAACAATGGTGAGATTAACATTTCTAAAGAGTGTGTGTGAGCAGAACCAGATAAGTCCTTTAAACAACTTTGAAACTATGGGGCAGTAATATCCCCCCACTGAGAGTCTAAAATTGTCTTTCCACCATGAAAGAATAGAAACTCTCCTTTCCACAGATGATCTCCAGAGCTTGATTCTTCCCAATGTTTGTCCTGTTTGTGTAGGAGGCCACACACAGCCAAGCTGCTGTGTCATCTGAGATGGAGCTGCTGGCACAGCCTTGCGTCGAGGGTCACTTTTGAAAACCCTGTGTACACGATGCTGCTTGTGGATTTAAACTTCTTTGGGATTTTCCAAGCAGTGAGCATTCAGCTGCGTATTTCCACAAGCTGTTTTGAAAATTGATCTTCTCAGAGCAGCTGGTGGGAAAAAAAAACAAACCACAAATAAAAATGGTGCTGTAGGCAGAGACATTTACCTGTGAATAACATATTCAATGTTCAAGACTTGATCAAGAGCGATGGTGGACTATAGCGAGGAATAATCACTTTACTTAGGCAGAAATTGCAGAAAAGAAGGTTTTAGGTGGTTATTTTCATCCCACATCAAGCCAAGCAGGAAGGTTTCTTTCACTGTATTCAACTCACCCTGAGCACCATTTAGAAACAGAGTGAAGACTTGGCTAATAACAGTGACAAAGATTTTGCTAGCTTCTCTGTGATGAGGATTTTATATACACTCCTAGCAAACGACCACGGCAGCCCTCCCCAAGCCACTCCAGCTCTGTCAATGACAATGTGTTGCCTGAAGTTCTGAAAAGAAGGGAAATTTAAGATTATGTGTCATGATCTTAGAAAATATGCAGATAGCATTGTTATCACAGTCTCATCCTCCCCTCAAGAAAAAACATTTAAATGACAGAAAAATAAGATAAAAGCTGAACTGGACAGGATGCAAGAAAAGAGTGTTTCCTGCAATACAAAAGTTTTCAGAAGAGACTGCTGAATTGTAGTGATTGTGTCCCCACAAAATACATGGAGGATCCTGTAAAGTGAACCCTCCATCACTCACCTGCCTGCAGGGATGAGATCATCCAAAATTACTGTGTCATAACTAAGACTTCTCAGAGGCTTTTGAGGTCTCCAGTACTATCACTATTTATTCTTTGCACTGCCTAGTGCCCAACACCCACCACAGAGAAACCTTCCCTGCCAAATGGCTCATAGCAGAATAGACCTTACAACAGTTTAAGCCCAGAGGCTATCATACACTAGTATCCTCTATACCTCTATACACAGACTGAGATGTTCTCAGATTTATAGATGCAAAGAGAATTTACTTATGTTGAGCACATCTAGGAAAAGTTTTTTTAATGTTTCCAGATTTAAGGGGAAAATCATCAACAGTGCATTTCTTCTCTAAATTTCTGCAAGAAAAATTTAAAATAAGAGGACTGTAATGGGATGTACAGAATCCCCAGTCAGGTTTGATATGACTGCCAGAGGTCCTTAGGTGCTAGAAACCATATATGCTAAGCCATGAAAAAGTGCATGCTGATTGCTCGTTTGAAGGACAGAGTAAAGAACTGTCGTGGTTTAAACCCAGTCAGGCAACTTGTTCACTCACTTCCCCCTCTTCTTGCCCTTCCCCTACTCCTGGAGGGATGGAGAGGAGAATCGAAAAGAATGCAACTCCCACAGGCTGAGATAAGAACAGTTCAGTAACTAAGGTATAACACAAATCACTGCTGCTACCACCAATAATAATAATGATAAAGGAAATAACAAGGGAAGAGAATACATCACCTCACCACCAGCTGACCGATAACTTGCCCGCCCCCAGCCCGACCAAGCACCGACCCATACCTCCTCCAGCCCTGCAGTCCCCCAGCCCTTCCGGCTAACTCCCAGTTACCTCCTGGGCATGATGTGCTGTGGTATGGAATACCTCTTTGGTCAGTTTGGGTCAGGTGTCCTGTCTCTGCTTCCTCCCGGCTTCCCCTCCACCCTGGCAGAGCATGAGGCTCACAAAGTCCTTGGCCAAACCAAAACATCATTGTTATCAGCTCTGCTCCCAGGCTGAAAGTCAAAACACAGCACTGCACCAGCTACCAAGAAGGAGAAAAATGACCGCTACTGATGAACCCAGGACAAAAGCCAAATCTTAGCACTTCAAAACAACAGGGAGGTGGGACAGTTGCACCTTTGCTCCAAATGCATTAAAATAAATAAATAAATCAGACTGGTCATATTTTAGGCAGTTGTGGTGCATCTGCACTTCTCTTTCACCCAGCATGGGTTCCAGGACCAAATTTACCCACTCTTCAAATACTTGATACAAAAATTAGACTTTACAGATGGTGGGAAAAACATTTGTTGGGCTTTGTGTGTGTGTCTAACTTTTGTTCTAAATAGATATACAGACACAGAATGGTATGCACATGAAAAAAGTCCATGAAAGTATGCGCCAGTACAAGGACTTTGGATGATATGAGCTGGAGATGCCTGCTTTGGCCACAGAAGAGAGATTTCTCTTCCTCCCTCTTCCCCCTGTCCCTAAACGTTGCCATGTCACAGGAAAAGATCAGGGCAGGCAAAAAATGGATGAGGCATTGGCTTCTGTGCTGGAACCATAAACCACGAATGTATTGAGAAAAGGGAGAGAAAGTAAGGTTACTGGAAGTCAGTCACACATTCCTGTGGCTCCTAGCCTCCTCCCCCCACAAGGAAGGCAGCATGGGCTCTGCGTTATCTCGTTATCTGGCAATACTTGTAAGGTTGAGAAAATGTGGCACATCTACTGTATTCAAATTTGAACACATCTGACAGCAACCTGTATGATAGATTCTCCACTAACCTTATCAGCTGCGCACACTGCTAATTGTAGAGGCTGCTAATCTGAGAAGCCAAAATGATATTAGCTTTCAACAGGATTCATGTACATTCAGTCTTATTTCTGCTTCAGCTAGCAATTACAGTTTAAACTGTTGAACATGCAGCTTGCTGTAGGCCTAAGTAATATTTAATAGCGTTAACAATGCACTTCCTAAGAAGCCTCCAGATCTCTTTACAGGCTCATTAATTCACTAGCCTTGCTGTGCAGCACCACAGCCATTTGGTCTCATTCCAGCAGGTCCCCGAGGAGTCATGGCCATGTGAAGCACTGCCCAAGTGCCTGTTGCCCCAGCCCAGCCCAGCCCAGGCAGTTCTTTAGTAAAAGGGGCATCTGTACGTCACTGCAAAGTGGACTCACTGGAAGAAGAAAGCATTAACTGTGGTCAGCTTCAATGCTCAGAAAATGGAAGCAGCAAAAGCCTGAAGAGGAAAGAGGGCTGCATGCTGCCTAGTGAAGTACCTGATTTCATGGCACATTGACTGAGGTCCTTACCTCTGGCCCTTCCTGACCGTAAAGCTGGGCTGTGCAATCATGCTCAGCAATGAGATTTCACTGCCAGGGTGTACCCTCCAAACGATGCACCGGAGGAGGAACAAGGTATCCCCTCTGAGAAACATGTTGTTTTCCTTCCCAGCGCTGTTGTTTGGTGAGCTTAGGAGCACTGATAGGTCAAACACACCCGTTGGAGACTCCCTCCGCCTGCTGATGGCTCCGTGGCACACAGTATTTTATTTCTGTTCAGAAGCTGATAAATTAGGGATGGAAATGCCATCTGGATTGCATAGATGATATGCCCATACCTGCTGTCATCAAGATGAGTGGCAAAGATTTCATTTTCTTGACATGGAACAAAAGTTGATGTGACTTAAAGGTAGGCTTAAAACTAGACAAAACAATAAGTGCTTCTCTGAAGCAGAGCCAGAACTGGGCTGCCCATGCAAAATATGCAACAAAGACAAAATATGTTTTTTATGAGTATTTCTGCAAATTGTGTACAAGCAGTCCTGTCTATAAACCCTTTTGTTAGCATTTTCATAGCAATGGAGCATGAAAGGTTACATGCTTGTTCACAAGGAAGCTGTTAAGTAGATGTATCCAATGACTCTGATCATCCACTAATTCTTGTGCAGTATTCACTCTGCTCTATCAAATTGTTATTTTCATTACCAGAAGGATTTAACACAATTGATCTGCAGTAACAGTCATCCATTATCATTCACACTCCATTTTCATTGTCTTAGCAGCAGAAAAAAAGGCTTTTTTTTCTTCTTTCAAGCATTTTATACTTTTATATGTTATTACACAAAATATTAGAAGAGAAAGAAAATCCAACTTTAAAACAGGCTGTCAGCATTGCTTTACCTTGGTTTTCTACGCCTGCAATGTACTTCATTGATGTCAACTAAAATCAAGTTAATTCAATTTGAGATTAAGTAATCAGTTAGGGAGACAGACAAGTAACAGGCATATAAGCATACATCCAGGCAAATATGGAAAAAGGTCCAAGGAATCCCTCAATCAAATAAAAAGACAACAAAAATATCCAAAATTCAAAACATCCTTGTTTGCTGTAATACACAGCAGTACTTGGATACTGTAAGAACATTTTCCAGACAAAGATCTTGTAGTACGTTACAAAAGATCATATGCCCTCACAGATGGGGAAACTGAGGCCCAAAGAAATGAAACAATTCTTTCAGGTTCATCAAATCAGTGGCAGAGATGGGAATTGTACCCAGCCCTTGTGTCTCCAAGCCCCAGGGACTACTGAGTGAGAGCATGAAAGAGGGACAGGTCACAGCTACACAAATTATTTTGTTATTGCACTAGCAGCTCTGGCATAGCTGTTTTTTTGGTGTGTTTTTAGAGATCAGTTAGGGACTGGCTACATGAACTCAAGTGGGAGAGATAAGGAGGCAAGGCTTTTCGACGGAAAGGAGCAAGAACAAGCAAACAGAAGATCATCAGTGAACACTAATTTGTCCTTCATTAGAAATTACTGAGCTGAATGAAGAAGTTCTTCATGTTTATGCAAGTTTCTGCTCTAATGCTGGGGGCTCCAGTGTGCAAAGATGCTAGCAGGACGCTGATTTATCCAAAGAGGTTAGAGCAAGTCATCGTGGGTGCCACTGCAATCCTCTGCAGACATGGTGATGCCCTACTGAGACTCCACTGGTGTTAGACTGTACAACAAACAAATCCTCTGGAGACCTGACTACTCTGCTGTGTAGAGAATGCTGGCACCAAGAAAGAAGCCCTTAGAAATTATCATAACCTTCGTAACTGGAACAACTTTGGCACATTTTATACTCCTGAGCAAAGCTGTGCTCCCTTGTTTTGTTCCCACAGGTCTTTTATGAGAGTGATTTTTTTATAGTATTTTCAGCAGTTTAAGAGAGATAACTCAGAGGCAAAATGACTATCACCATTCTGTAACACAGTTTTCTTTGTTAGTGGAGATTTGAGCACCTCGCTGATGGATCCCCAGCCTCACTTGGTGTTGCAAGTTGCAACATTTGCTTTA